CTTTCTCGAAAGCCAAATTGATGTGCTGGAATAACGTTGTGCTCTTTCAGATATGGAATGATGCGCGTCAGAAGGCATTTTTCGAGCAGTTTTGACAGACACGAGAGTAAACTTATCGGTCTATACGAAGCTGGTATTGTGTGATCTTTCCCTGGCTTTGGGATCATTATGATTACCGATTTTTTCCATTTTTTTGGGAAATAGCCAAGTCGTGTAATCCCGTTGAAGAGTTTACAAATAACCTCAACTGCACAGTTTGGAAGTTCGATTAACATTTTGGGAGTTATTTGATCACCGCCTGGGGCCTTTTTTTGGTTTCAATTGCTTGCTGATTACTTTTGCAATTTCATTTGGTTGAAACAGAATTGGCTCCGTCTCAGATTCAATTCGAATTGACGGCGACGGTAGTGCGAATGAATTAGTTGCAGGGTTTGGCTGAAAAACATTTCGAAGGTGTAAAGCAAATGTACAAGCTCTGTCTTTGTCGCTTCTGGCCCAGCTGCCTGAAGAGTCTCTTATGGGGATTACTGTTTCGGCCGGCGCACTTAGTTTTGGGTGGGCCCTCCACAAGGGATGCTTAGTGCTGGTGGGTGAAAGTTTCTCAATGTACTGGCGTTGTGCTTTTTCTTCTTCTTGCCTTAGAGCCCTGGTAAGTCTGCGACCAGCTTCTTTAAGACTTTTTTTTGAAGATGGCGATCTGCTGGTTTGCCAAGTACGTCTCAAACGTCTTTTCTCCAAAACAAGCTGTTCGATTTCATGGTTAGTTTTGTGTTGGTGTGTGTGCCCATCCCTCCCTTGCGGTGTTGAGACTTTGGCTGCTGCGACGAGTACAGACTCCAGGGCATCGGCATAGCAGTCGATGTCCTCCTTGATGTTGAGCTGTGGAGTTAGTTCAATGTGGGAACTTACGTACTTTTTGAACTTCAGCCAGTTGGTTCGATGCGACGTCAGCCTGCGAGGGTGCTCGATTAATTCCGGGCTTTGAAGAAGAGTTATTAGCACTGGTGAGTGGTCCGATGATAGATCCAAAAGCGATTTTGCAGATATTAGATTGCGAGAGATGTTTTTTGTCACAGCAAAATCAATTAAATCAGGTAGTTTTCTAGGATCTGTAGGCCAGTATGTAGGGCTGCCTGGTGAAACGTAGTCCAGTTTTTTGCATGTTTTAATGAGTGCATTATATAGTTGCCTTCCTTTGGGGGTCACAAGGCGGGATCCCCAGTGCGTGTGCTTGGCGTTGTAATCTCCTGCTGCTATGAATCGCTCTCCAAGTGAATTGTAGAAGTCCATGAATTGGTCTTCGGAGACTGTAAAGCGGGGTGGGCAGTAGACAGCGGCAATGGCAAGGTTGCAGTTGCCCAACTGTAATTTTATCGATGTAGCTTGCAGATAATTTTTAGCAAACCGTTGGTGAAAGTGGTGTTTGACGCGGTCTCTTATTAAGATTCCAGTGCCGCCATGCGCTTTACCATCTGGATGATCTGTGCCATAGAACGTGTATCCCCGTATTTGAAAGTTATATTTGCTGGTGAGATGCGTTTCTGCCAGCAACATAACGTCGATGTGGTTTTCGTTCAGAAATTGAGTTATTTCAGGTTTATGCCGTGAAACACCGTTGGCGTTCCACAGAGTTATTCGAAGGCTAGGCATGGTTTATTTGGACTGCTGAGCTGCAAGCATTTGTAGTAAGATATTTTGGTTTTGCATAAGGGTTTGCATAGTGGTTTTCATGAAGGACATAAATTCCATCATATTTTGTTGCAAAGTAATCATCATAGATTCCATGTTACTTTGTGGCTGTCCCATGGCCTGCTGGATGTTATCAACTTTCGGCTCTATGTGAGCTGTGCCTGATCTTAGAGCACTGGCGTAAGAAATTCCGTTGGTGGTAATTGAAGGGCCAAATGATGATCTGGCTGCTTTTGCGAAGAAAACTTCCGGTGTCGTTTGTGATCTCATGTAAGTGTTTTGTGTGTTCAGGGAGCGTGCCGTTGTCGCTCGTTGCATCCGACTTTTCATCACCTTGTAGACTGGACAGCCTCTGTAGTTTGCTGTGTGGTTTCCTTGGCAGTTGGCAGGACAGGGTTCGGAGCCGTGGCAGTTTCCACAAGCTACACATACTGACCTGAGGGTGCAGTAAGCCCTGGTATGACCGTATTCCTGGCAATTTGTGCATTGCACTGGCCCGGTCCGCTTGTGCGGCTCTTCCACTGTGATCCTACGGTGCAGAAGGTACTGCAACTTGTAAATCGGGTGGCCTGCGTTTTTTTTCTCAAAGGTCTGCTGTCCAGCTCCAGCTCGACCTTGAAGAGTGGTTGCGGCTTCTTGTTTTTGTTCATAATGTTTATAACATTTTTTGCGCAAAAACCGTTTTCTTTAAGGCCTCTGTAATTTCGCAGGGGGTCACATCGGGTTCTATTCCCTTAAGCACAACTTGCAAACCTTTGCAACTTTTCAGCTGGTACGTGTAGTAATTCTTTTTGGCATCGTTTAAGTACTTCGACACTGCTCGGAAATCGTCTTCGGTTTTGGTTTGGAGTTTAGTTTCGCTTATATTCCCTTTCATAAGCGGAATAACATGAAAGTTATCTTTTCCGACAAGCTCAACTATTTTGTTGACTAGGGCATTCGAGATCTTCTCCCGAATAAAAATAGGTGGGGGCTTTAGTTTCCTTGGGGCTAATTGTTCAGACTCTGTTTCAGGCTCCGCCAGAATGGAAAATCTGTTTTCATCTAATGGCCCGGGATTTAAAGGGCCTTTGTTGGAACAAATGAATGGATGAAAACTCTATTCCAAAGACAGCTTTTTCCACCAAAAATGGTCATTATGAATATACTCGAATGCCCTTTGGATTGAAAAATGCCCCTGCTACCTTTCAAAGGTGCAAAACAATCTCTTAGAAGATTTGATCTATAAAGATGGTTTGGTCTACATGGACGATATTATCGTGTACTCCACTTCATTGGAGGTATTTGCGAAAGGTATTTGAAAAATTACGATAAGCTAATCTCAAGCTTCAACTCGTCAAATGCGAGTTTATGAAAAAGGAAACAGAATTCCTTGGACATATTATAAAAACAACTGGTATAAAACCAAATTCTCTCAAATTAGAAAAAGACAAATAAAATCATTTTTAGGTCTTTGTGGATTCTATAGGAAATTTATCCCAAACTTTGCTAAAATAGCAAAACCAATGACAGCAAAGCTTAAAAAGGCGTAACTTTAAATATAAAAGATAATGATTATGTACAAGCGTTTGAAAAACTTAAACTTTTAATAATGTCCGATCCAATACTTATAAACCCAAATTTCGAAAAACCATTTTCATTAACAACAGATGCAAGTAATATTGCTATAGGAGCAGTATTATCACAAAATCATAAACCAATCTGCTATGCCAGCAGAACTCTTAAAGAACACGAAATGAATTATTCGGCTATAGAAAAAAACTTTTAGCTATTGTCTGGGCCACCAAATATTTCAGGTCCTATTGTTCAGTTTACTGCTTGTCCCGATAGTTTGAGAGCGAACCGATCAGCTGATCGTTCGCTCATCTGGACCTGTGTAGGACGAGGGCAGAGAAAACGAAACGCAACCAGAACCAACAGTCTGCACGGTCGAACAACGCTGAACGCACGCCGCCGGTCTACCGAAATTTGCACTTTATCATACTTTTGTTAATCTTGGAATCAGAATAATTATATCGCTTTGAATTTATCTTTTTGTGTATGCCTTTGCCTGGGAACCTCTCGTACAATGACCCCTCGTTGACTTAATACAAGGGGACACAACTGAACATGGTGGCCCATGAGGGGAACCTGCAAAGCAAATACTGTTCGTAAAAGGTTAATTAGAATTCCGTTAAATAAATTTCGTCAGATCGACACGCCGGCTCAACGAAGCAGTGCAAAGAAGACGTCGATACATAAGCGCAGCAACGGCAACCCGGACTTTGCAAAGCGCCGTTATCTCTTCCTTCCTCTTTGTGGTGTGGTTCTGGTATGCAAGCAGAGTGAGTTACCAAGTTGTGTGCAAGACAAGTATTACAGATTTATCTATTACATAATTATTCGGGGTGGTGAGTTGCGCAGGCCTTAGTCTTACACCTGTCAACATGAAACCTGAGTCGGCTGATTTGGACAAGTTGGTGAATCTGCAATCAGATCGTCACCAAGCTCTCAGGTCTGTGTTACAGAATTTTAGGAAAGATTCGCAGACGAGGAAAACTAAAATTTATCTCAAAAAAAGGCTGGACCAAGTGGAGGAATTACGGAACGCTTTTCGGGAGACGCACTCGGTGATCGTTAATTTGGATGGATTTAGTGATTCAAGTTACGCCACGAAGAATTTCCAATCAGAATTCGAGGAGCGTTATATGGACGCTTATTGCGCTCACGCCGAAGACTTCGACAGGCTTGGACCAGAAAATACTACGCCGACAGCAGCCGCCGGGAACGCCGACCCGGAGTTGCGAGTAAACATGCCGCAAATGTCGGTGCCTAAATTTTCCGGTGCGTGTGTGGACTGGCCAGGCTACTACGACGCCTTCACAAGTCTAATTCATAACAACAACAATTTGAGCAATGTCCAAAGATTGCACTTTCTTAAGGAGTCGTTGCCCATAAGTCGTGATAATGACATTCGTCAGATGCAGCTCACGGATGTAAATTATGCAGTGGCTTGGGGAATGATGATCAAAAGGTACAACAATCCTCGTCTCGTTTTCTCACACCATATGAACGCAATCTATGCGCTGCCCAGATTGCAAAAGGACAGCACCGACTCTCTGCGGTCGATGCTAAGCACGGTCAATGTTTGCCTAGCTGCCTTCCGCCGCGTTCAAGCCTTGGGCGGGGAATCGCAGCACTGGTTGGCGCATTACATAGCATCGAAGCTGCCCAAGGAGACCCACAACGCTTGGGAGCACCACCAAGGTAGCTCTTCAACGGTTCCATCCTATAGGGACTTGGAATGATTTCTGAACGATCGGCTAGTCATAATGGATGCGATTGAGAATCGAAGCTCGTCGTACGACTCCAATGCTGGCCCAGGTTCAACAGACCCGATCAAACGCGTGCGAGTGCATAATGCACAGGAGCAACCCAGGCGTTCGAATAACCCTTGTTATCACTGTGGCGGCGACCACATCCTAAGTCGCTGTCCACCTTTCTTGGCGCTGGACTGTTACAAGCGCAAGGACATAGTCAGTAGGGCTAAATTATGCGTCAATTGCTTGAGCAAGTCGCATGCCCTGTCTCGCTGCACCAGCAACCAGTGTTGTCAGGTTTGTGGTCAGCGCCATCATACGTTGCTACATTTCCCGGTTCCGGCTCAGAACCAGTCTTCGAACGCTCAATCGCATCCTGCCCGGCCGCCGATACCGCAGTTTGTGACGCCGGCACCCAGGGAAACAGTGTCTGCACACAACACACAGTCCAGGTCGGATCAAAATCCGCACGCATCTTACAGATGTCATTCGGCGACGTCATCCAACCTTTCCTCGAAAAATTTACTTCTCGCTACGGCTCGTATTATGGTACGAAACCCGACCAACGGCCTGCAAGCAGTAATAAACGCTCTCGTCGATCAAGGATCTGAGGCAACCATAGTATCTGAACACGTTGTTCAGTCCCTTCATTTGAAACGATCTGCCGTCAGAGCATCCATTTTTGGGGTAGGAGAAGGGGGCGGTCGTCGTTGCAAGTATACGGTCAACCTTGAAATCAACAGTATTAATTCCAATTTTTCTTTAGATGTTGATTCCGCATATGTGCTCAATTCCGTAACATCCGGCCTCCCCAGTCTCAGCTTCTCGCCGAAGCGATGGGATCACATCCAAGGGCTCCCGTTGGCTGATCCAAATTATTACAGATCGAAACGAGTTGATCTCATCTTGGGAGTGGACCTGTTGGCACAAATCATGTTGCCAGACACGAAGATTGGATTGCCCGACGAACCCATAGCTCAAAATACCCGTTTGGGATGGATACTATCGGGGCGAGCGGAAGGAGTTATAAAATCTTCCGAACTACGCTGTCATCGAGAAACTTTGGACACGGAGTCATTGCTCAAACGATTTTGTGAAGTCGAGTCGGTTCCTGATCGTTCTACGGAAACGGAGGAGGATACATGGTGCGAAACATTTTTCCAGGAAACACATGCACGTCGATCGGATGGCCGCTACGTAGTACGATTGCCCTTTAAAACATATTTGGATCCAACAATGGTATTGGGGAGATCTCATCAAATGTCGCTGAATCGGTTTATTCAATTGGAAAGGCGTCTGTCGAACAACCCGGGGCGGTGGAACAAATATGTGGAGGAAATCGAGGAGTACTTTTCGCTTGAGCAAATAGCGCCTGCTGTGGGCAGTGAGAGCAGTCTAATGAAGCGCACATCTTCGAATATGCATGTAGCTTCATGCGTGCTTCCGCACCATGCGGTCTTCAAGGAGGAACTCCATTCGATCAAACAAAGAATCGTATTCGATGCCTCCTCAAGAACTAGTAACGGGAGATCATTGAACGATATACTTTGTATCGGACCCACTTTGCAGAACGACATGTCATCGGTTATACTCAACTGGCGGAAATATCGTTTTGTTTTCACGGCGGATATACAGAAGATGTATCGCTGCATAGATGTTCACCCAGAAGACGCCCAATATCAGCGGATTTTATGGCGGGCGGCGGATGGAGCCATCAATGTTTTTGCGTTATCGACATTGACCTTTGGGACGGCTTCAGCACCGTTCACAGCTATCAGAGTTATTCAACAGCTGGCAAAGGATGAGCAGCTTTCATTTCCTAAGGCCAAGGAGGTGCTGATGAACGAAATATATGTAGACGACATTCTTTCTGGAGGACATACTATAGAGGAGGCAGAGGATAAGCGGTTGCAGGTATCGGGTGCTATAAAATCCGCACGCATGGAGTTGCGAAAGTGGGCCAGCAACGATTCGAGACTTTTGCTCTCGATTCCGTCAGAGTACCATTGCACTCAGACCCTGTTAAGTTGGGACACTACAGATCCCATAAAGGCTTTAGGAATGTATTGGCTGCCAATCAAGGACTGTTTTAAATACCAGATCAACTTCGAGATGCCAGTCAGCTCCACAAAGAGGATGATCCTATCCAGTATAGCAAGGTTGTTTGACCCGCTGGGTCTCATTGCGCCGGTCATCATCTCGGGAAAACTTATATTGAAGGAGGTTACCATGGCCAAGACAAAGCAGGCAGATGGCACGCAGACGGTTTTGGGCTGGGACGACGCGGTTCCTGATAATATCGCAGAGCGATGTCGAGTATTTCGAGACCACTTACTGAGGATCGGCGAGATAAGCATAGATCGGTGGAACCATTACACCCCATCTTCAATATCCTCAGTGCAGATGCATGCATTTTGCGACGGATCTTCCACGTCTTATGCAGCCGCTGTGTACCTAAGAGTAGAGCATCAGGACGGAAGATGCTATACATCTCTGATGGCTGCAAAATCAAAGGTTACTCCCACCAAGCCCCTAACTATACCTCGAACAGAGTTAAGTGGAGCGGTATTGGCCATCAAATTGGTGAGGTGGCTAACTATGGCTAAGTTTCTGAGCTCCTTTCTGGTCCAGACTTTCTATTGGACGGATGCTACAATTGTGCTGCACTGGTTGCATGGAGACGTCAATAGATGGAAGACCTTTTTGCGAATAGAGCCGCCTTCGTTTTGGATCATTCCTCGCCAATTCAGTGGAGGCACGTTAGCACTACCGAGAATCCAGCGGATTGCGCTACACGCGGTCTCACTCCCATCGAGCTAAAGGACTTCGAGCTGTGGTGGCGAGGGCCATCGACAGATTTCGGTCAAATTGGCATTAACGACGCCGCTTTAGAGGCAAAGGTGGCAAAAATGCGAGTTCACCATGCAGTCCCGCAGCTGTCGTTTCTTGAGAGATTTTCAACACTCAGCCAGGCTTTACGAGTCACAGCCTACATCATGCGCTTCAAGGACAACGCGTCCGGCAAGGTAGACAGGCGCCTTGGGCCCTTAATCACTGAAGAGCTCGACTACGCTTTATTAGCCGTCGTGCGTATCGTACAGCGCGAATCGTTCGCAACCGACTTGTCTGCAGTAAGGAACTCCAAACGGTTGCCCTCGCGTAGCAAATTATTAAATTTGTCGCCGATATTAGAGGAAGGCATCTTGCGGGTGAGGGGACGACTTCGCCATTCTAGTTTGTCGCACGAACGTCGTCATCCGATAATCCTGCCAAGCTCTCATCATTTCACCGAATTAGTAATACGTCACTCTCACTGTCTAACCCTGCACGGAGGCGCGCAGTTGACTTTGGCACACGCGCGTCAGCGTTTTTGGATCCTGACAGGACGGCAAGCAGTTCGTAGGGTCATACGGAAATGCGTTCGCTGCTTCAGAACGCGACCAACTACTACGGCTCAGCTTATGGGAGACTTGCCCGTTCATCGAGTCAACCCTCCTAGTCGACCATTCATTGTCACTGGTGTCGACTACACAGGCGCAATAGAGATTAAAGCAGCGCGTCTACGAGGCACTAGCTTTTACAAGGGATACATCGCTGTGTGCATTTGTCTCGCAACCAAGGCGGTGCATTTGGAGGCGGTGACAGGTCTCACCACGGAACATTTTTTGCTGGCTCTGGACAGGTTCACCGGGCGACGAGGAATGGTTCAGCACCTTTACAGTGACAACGGTACCAACTTTGTTGGTGCAGACAATGTAATGAAGACGGTGTACGGTCAGCTTCAAGCGGATTACGAGAAGCTCATCGCCCCCAAGCTTGCATCGCAGCGCACAACATGGCACTTCAATCCTCCTCTGTCACCTAACTTTGGTGGGCTTTGGGAGGCCAATGTAAAGTCGGTTAAACACCATCTAAAGAGAGTCATTGCAGATCGTCGGCTTACCTACGAAGAGTTGTCTACGGTGCTCGTAAGCATAGAAGCGTGTCTCAACTCAAGGCCGCTTTGTCCTCTCACGGCTGACCCGGACGATCTAGAAGTGCTCACCCCAGCGCACTTCCTCATCGGAGACTCAATGCTGGCGCCGCCGGAATATCAACCACAATCCAGATCCTTCGCAGAGCAGTTCCTCATCCAGCAGACGATGATACGACATTTCTGGAAGGCTTGGAGTCGTGACTGGTTAGCGCATCTTCAGCAAAGGCCAAAGTGGTGTCAGGAGACCGAAAGCTTTCAGCTTAACGACCTTGTCATTATCAAGGACGACAGGTTCCCCCCATCGCAATGGTTGCTCGGGCGTGTTATGGAGGTGCACCCAGGGACGGACGCACTGGTCCGGGTGGTGACAGTTAAAACTAAGCAGGGGCAGCTGAAGCGATCCGTAGCAAAGCTCTGTCCTCTGCCAATCCGCGCCTAGACGCACTCACCTCGATTTATAGACTGTATCTTGCGCACACATCTTGCTCTAATCTCTCCATATTAGATACCGAGGATACGCATCCGAACCCGGACAAGCGAGGATGTCTCATGCTAGGTCTAGCATTAGCGGGCGGCATGTTCAGTTTACTGCTTGTCCCGATAGTTTGAGAGCGAACCGATCAGCTGATCGTTCGCTCATCTGGACCTGTGTAGGACGAGGGCAGAGAAAACGAAACGCAACCAGAACCAACAGTCTGCACGGTCGAACAACGCTGAACGCACGCCGCCGGTCTACCGAAATTAGCACTTTATCATACTTTTGTTAATCTTGGAATCAGAATAATTATATCGCTTTGAATTTATCTTTTTGTGTATGCCTTTGCCTGGGAACCTCTCGTACAATGACCCCTCGTTGACTTAATACAAGGGGACACAACTGAACACCTATCTTTTTGGCTGAAAATTTCTGATTCTAAGTGATCACAGGCCGCTAGTATGGCTTAATAATATCAATGAACCTAATATGAAATTACAGCGCTGGAAAATCAAATTAAATGAGTTTGATTATGAAATAAAATATTTGCCCGGTAAAGAAAACCATGTGGCAGACGCCTTATCTAGAATAAGAATAGAGGAAGCCTATTTAGGAGAGACTTCTAGTAATTCAAATACAATAACAACAGTAGCTACAGTGCATAGTGCACCAGAAGATAACCAAAACCACATTTCAATAACAGAAAGACCACTGAATTATTATAACAGACAACAGAATTTATAAGAGGAGACTCAAATGAAGTCGAAGTAATAAATTATTTTCATAAAACTAAAATCATTACATATAAAGAGATGACGATCGAATACGCAAAACAATTGATAATTGAATACTTTTCTAATAAGAAAAGCGTAATATATATTCCAATTGAAACAGACTTTTTAATTTTTCAAAAGGCATACGTTGAAATTATTTCTCCGGATAACTTAACTAAAACAATGAAAACTAACAGTAAATTAATAGATATTAACACATACGCAAAATTCAAAGAAATTATTATTAAAACACAAAGAGAACTATTACATCCAGGAATAGAAAAACAAACAGCACTTTTTAAAGAAAAATATTATTTTCCCGATCACCAAAAATTAATTCAAAATTTTATTAATGAATGCGAAGTATGCAACATCGCAAAAACAGAACACAAAACAAGAGAGAACGCTATAGTCGGTTGCCCCGACTATCAGATACCCGTTACTCAGGTAAAGGGAGTGCGAGGGAGATGGAGATAGAAACTTTGATCACGCATAACTTTTTAACGAATGGTCCGATTTGAAAAATTTCTTTTACATTTCGATAGGTATTGATAAACACAATAAAACTGCATTTTTACTTTTCCGAAATATTTAAAGTTTTAAAATCGTATATAAGCGATTGTGGGCGTTAAAGGAGGCGTGGCACCATTTTGAAACAAACTTGCGCTGCGTAGGAACTTCTAAAATCTACATGCAAAATGCCAATCTTCTAGCTCTTATAGTTTCCGAGATCTCAGCGTTCATACGGACAGACAGACAGACAGACAGACAGACAGACGGACAGACAGACGGACAGACAGACGGACAGACGGACATGGCTAGATCGACTCGGCTAGTGATCCTGATCAAGAATATATATACTTTATAGGGTCGGAAACGCTTCCTTCTAGCTGTTACATACTTTTGCACGAATACAATATACCCTTTTACTCTACGAGTAACGGGTATAAATACTAAATTAGAATTCGAAATAACCCCAGAATTGATTTTTATATGATAGATAATAAACAATTTTTATCTTGTATAGACATTTATTCAAAATTTGCGACTTTAATAGAAGTCAACAGTCGAGATTGGTTAGAAGCAAAAAGAGCATTAACTAAAGTTTTCAATGAAATGGGTAAACCAAACCAAATTAAAGCAGACAAAGATTCAGCTTTCATGTGTGCAGCATTGCAACTTTGGTTAAAATCTGAAGATGTTGTTATTGATATAACAACAAGCAAAAATGGAATTTCTGATGTTGAGAGATTTCACAAAACAGTAAATGAAAAATTAAGAATCATATACAGTGAAACAAACATAGAAAATAAGCTAAAAAAAATTTGGAACTATTCTTTATGTCTATAATCATAAAACAAAACATAACACCACAGGCAGAACTCCTGCAGATATTTTTATTTTCGCTGGAACTCCAAAACATAATACACAGTCAAATCAAATCAATAAAATAGAAAAACTAAATGAATCACGAAATAAATTTGAATTTGATAGATATCGACAAGCTCCACTAGTAAAATCAAAAACCACTAATCCGTTTAAAAAGACAGGAAAAATCACAAAATTAGATGATAATCATTACGAAAAGTTAACAGAGGGAGAAAAATAATACATTATACATTATTAACAACAAGAGAGAACGCTATAGTCGAGTGCCTCGAGTGCCTCGACTATAGCGTTACTCGTTACTCAGCTAAAAAAGTTCAAATAATCAATTTGAATTCGGCGATCTCTTAGAGCTGGCAGCATCAGCACCAGCGCTGCTTTAGCGCAGACAACTTTTGTCCTGCACCAGCATACACACATACGCCATTGTTTGACTCAGACCTCCAATTTGGCTAACTTGATTTGATTTGCATAGTTCTTGGGATATAGTTCTTTTCTTTAATAGAAATCCTTATCGATAATTAACGTTGGCTCTGTTGAGCACCTTGGCCAGCAGTTCCAAAGTCATCCGTTAGATGGCGCTACCACGGGCCATGGAAGGCGGAAATGTAGGCGCTAGCCAGGCTTAAGCGTTTAATAGGTTTTTGGGCGTTAGAGTGGGCGTGGCAAACTTTTATTAGGCAAATCGATATGTATTAACGAAACAAATACATATCAATTAAAATTTTTATAAAAGCATCAAAACTGTGGCCACAGCTTGTGGCTTGTGGGCGTCAGAGGGGGCGTGGCACAATTTTGAAACAAACTTGCGCTGCGTAGGAACTCCTAAAATCTACATGCAAAATGCCAATCTTCTAGCTTTTATAGTTTCCGAGATCTCAGCGTTCATACGGACGGACAGACAGACGGAGAGACAGACGGACATGGCTAGATCGACTCGGCTAGTAATCCTGAACAAGAATATATATACTTTATAGGGTCGGAAACGCTTCCTTCTACCTGTTACATACTTTTGCACGAATACAATATACCCTTTTACTCTACGAGTAACGGGTATAAAAATAAATACGATAATTCCAAATGCACGCCAAATGAAAACCAAACCTAACTTTTTTATCAACACTATCAACATCCTACTAATTTTAATCAGTGACGGATCCAGAGACGATTCTTGGGGGGGGAATTGAATTTATCCTTCGATTTGGGGTTCAAACTTATTATAACGGGAGAAATATATTATATTCGGGTTATATTCGAAAAGTTAACCATATGCATGCATTAAAGAGTGGTTCATATTATTAGAAATTCAAACAGAACAATGCTTTTACATTGCGTGTTTCATAACGCAAAACGATGGCTGCCAAGTTTTGCGAATCTTTCGATGACTTCTTCGGCGGTGATTTCGATGTCATGATGCGTATGAAGCAACGCTAATCCAACTAGTCTTTCTTGAAGCATGGTCGTCCTAAGCCATGTTTTGATGCGGCGAAGATAAGAGAAAGAACGTTCAGAGCTCGCGTTTGTTACGGGAAGTGTACAGAATACTCGGAGATAGGTGTGGATTGTTGGGAATATGTCGACATCACATTTTCTTAATGTTTCCAGTGCAGAAGTTGGAATTTCGCTGCCTTCAATTTTTTGTTGCTGCTGCCAGTGACATTGCCAGTAGCTCAATTCACCTTTGAATTTCAATTTTTGTACGCTTTTGTCATCATCCACAAGATTCCCGAATCTTTCTATCAAGCATCCGATTAGATCATCGATTTCGTTTTCTTTTAAAAGACTTGCTTTTTCTGGGAGCAACACACTCAATTGGTAACCATCCAAAACTTCTCGTCAAAAACGAGCTTCCAAATCTTCTTTGATGGTATCCAGCAGAGGTATGTAGACAGAGACCCTGTATTAATCTTCGCAAGTTTTCACGTAGTAATTTTCGCGTTTCGTTTGTCGACCACATGTTCTCGGTTTCGCTTCGTCAACATCGAGTTTTTCCGCCATTTTCTTGGCATCTGAATAAATCAGTCGGAATATTTCATCAACTTTTTCCCTCTTTTTTTCCAACGTGGCAAGCAACGTCCCAATCATTTTTGATGCCTTCGCCAAATCAATTGCTTCCTTCTGAAGAACTACGCTGAGAGAATGGGTGAGCGATAGAATGTCGCTGAGACAGAAGAGCCCGACGATAAATTCGAACTTGCACAAAGCCGATATGAGAATTGTTGCTTTGCCTGCTGTTTCTCTGTTCTTCCACTCACTGATTTTTGATAGAGCTTCGATGATCAACGGTAACTTCGCAACAAATTGAAGGACAGCATCGTGTCTCTCTACCCATCTTGTTTCACACAACTGGACAATTTTTTCACCAACTATCTTTGCTAATACAGTCACACACAGCATGACAGCATTTTTTGCATCTTTCCGAATTTCGTTGACTGCTCCGATATCTGACAGCATGACCGCACATCCATCAGTCCCTATCGAAGCGCATTTCTCCATTCGGAGATTCATTTTCTTCATGTCTCCAAGAACAATCCCCCCGATGGCAGATCCAGTTAGAGACAATTCTTCATCGGTTCGGTCATTTTTTCCAGCAATTCTGTAAGCCATTAATCCATCTTCATCCTCGCTTTCTTCTGATTCTGTACCCTCCGCGAGAGTATTCTTCGAAAGTTGACCGAATGCGTCCAAAAAAGATACAAAGTCTTCTCGTATGCATGCTTCGTCAGGAGAAAAATCGACATATCTGAGTACAACGCTAATCTGTAATGAGAAACATTATTCTTCTGTAAATTTATGTTTATTTTC